AAGCTAAACAGGAAAAAGTTGGAAAAGCATTTCATGACTCCTTTAATTCATACTTTTGTACTCGCGGCCCTGTTGAGTATGCTTCTCTCCGAGCACCGGTGCACCGCAGAGAAGCAATACCTGCGGAACGTGCTTTTATGAGTGTTGTTTCTCCGCAGTGCACCGGTGCTCATAAAGAAGCACACTCAACGGGGCTCAAAGCGGGCACACATTAGCGGAAAACAGCGTTCACATTATGTGCTTTAAGACTAGCAATGATGACCAAGACGATATCGAGGATGAGGACCAGCTCACTGGCATCATGCTTTCTGGCCTTGAAGCACATAATGTGAACGCCGAGCTGGCGGAATATGCTAGTCTTGACGATGATGTATGTGTTTGTCGTGATGACTCATTAGAGGACATAGTACAGGAAGTAATGCCAGCACAGTGCAGCAGTGAGAGTGAAGATGACGATGAAGAAAGGGATGACTTGCTACCAACTGTCACAGCCACAGCTTTGAGCACATCGCTCAGCTCCGGAAGTTTCTGTCTGCAAAGGAAGAGTCCCGTAAAGAGCTACTTGCGGTGGCTGGTATTGAAAATTTTATTTTGAGATTGTATGTGCTGACTAAACAGTCCACAATCAACAAATTTTTTGCCGGATGAATAAACTCAATGTCACAGCTCTTTCACTAATGTGTTATGCCTGTACTTGCTTATAATTAGGCCTATGTAGAGGAAACTGGCAAAAATCTGCTTTGTATGAGTAGCTATCCATGTAACAAATCATAATGCTGTCTAATATCATATTTAGATGAATTTCTGATAATTCGAACTAAAATCTGTGACTTCCTGGAGTTTGAATTAATGAGACTCTACTGTAGTTTGCTGTACGGCATTTCGCATTCAGCGAGTCATTTTGCCACTGTACACAGACGAAAGCATAAAAGCGTTCGGACAAGTTACGCATTCATGGCTGCACAATGCTGGCAACTGTAGGGCCAGTCGTTAGACTTTGCCCTTGGTGAAAAAGTCCTGTTTGTAACACTGTGCCGCTGGAGCAAATGCACAGATTGATTGCTACTTCCTTGGCGATACAACCGCTGCCTTCTCACGTCGACACATGGGAAATACCGCAAACAAAAGCAGACACCGTCACGACTTTGCAAGGTGAAACCGGAGAGGTCAAGAGCGGAAGAATTGCTTGAGTGTTGACGTGCTATGTGGCATCAACAGCAGAGGCCTGCCATTAAAAAAAAAAAAATACTAGTTTGCAGTTTCTTTGCTGGATGTGACGTCACGACAACTGACGGCAGCGATTGGCTGGCAGAGTGATGTAGATTCTTTTGGGGGGAATTTGCCACTGAATTCATAACCTGACATCAAATGTAGTTTCTAAACATGGCAGATGTAATCAGGCCAGTTTCCGTCCACAATGCTGCCGCCTAGTCTGTCGCACAGATTATTTCCGTTGCTAAGGAGCAGTTGGGGCTTTATGTAAACATAGGCTGGACATGCGTGTAGAAAAATAACATGAATGACCGACCACATCATTGACTCTTCCAACATACTGCAAAAAAACAAAACAAAAAAACCGACAAGTCAACATTTTTTTTGTTTTTTCTTAATTTTTTAGTGGCTGTCGTGTAACATGGAAGTATAAGTACCAAGTAAAATAAAACTAAAGAAAAAGTACATAACGTAAGGTGTACATGAACTCTATAGATATAATACCAGTCCCAGTGGATTAGCAAAGAAGCCAGTCTTCTCAGAAAACCCCCTCCCTCACTTGAGTCCGTTTTCTAATATTTGAATCTTAAAAAGAAGTTGCCCCGAAAAAGCGGCAGAAAATACACAAAACAAAGTGACAGTGCCTAAAAAGGTCACACCTGCCTTTTCACATGGCTCTCGGAACTACATGCAGTGCAGGATGCAGAACGGTACCCATGGGCTAGCTGCAGTTGTAACCCAGTGCTTGTAGTGAATCGCAGCTGCTTGGAAGGGAGAGAGGCCACCTCCTTCATGCCGTGGTACCGGGAAAAGCAATACCAATGAGCTGCAGGCGTCGAGCACCTTGTATTTCTGTGCATCCACAAAGCATTTCTGGGACAGCAACAACAGAAAACTTCAGTAACACAGTGAACAAAAAAGAGACCAAAAGAGTAGGCATGCAGGCGAGTGTGAATTGTAGACACAGCTAAAACTCAAGGCACAAGGAAGCAGAAAGAGGGCACATGAAGAGGCCTTTCGACTTCCTTGCATGTCGGGTTTGAGTCTCGTACCGGGTAGTAAGAAGCAACAATACTGGTTCCCTAGCCTTTCCTGTCTCAAGAAGCCTTGGAACAAAGATATCCTACTCGTCATTCATCTCGTTTTCCCTTCTCGGGCGGATTAAAGTGCACGCTGCGGCAGTAAACTGCCTCAAAGGGGCTCAACTCACACTTCTAAGAGAATGATTGGCGAGCAACTTCTCCATTGTGTACTACGTGCACTCCATGTTTTAAAGGGGTACTCCAGCATTTTCTTCATTGTCCCCGATTTGCCTAAAAACTTGCTAACACATCAACAAACATCGCTGAAATAGTAACCGAAATATCTGGCCGAAATAGCTTCTTTTCGCAAAGTTACAGAATTTACAATTTTGGTCATCATTGTGTTTCTCAAAGTGAAAAGCTCTACTGGCAACATTGAAACTGAGACGTCATGCGAAGGCAAAGGTTCACTCTTAGGACTGTAGACTTTGTTCACAACTGATCACAAACAGTTTCATGGTGTCAAAAGAATGCTTTGGAAGGTCACCCCAAATCCCACCCAGCAGCACGAAACAAATGCTGGGCACAGTTCCTTTCTACACAGCCGCTCGAACCGTGAGACTGTCCCATCCCGTGACGCAAGCACGTAACTAGAGGAGGTTCATGGAGCTCGGCCCGGCCCGGCCCGCCGCTGCCGCCCCCAAAACAAAATCCTGACTATGTGCCTGCTTGACGTCACGGCAATGAAACGCACAAGTATATTTCAATCTTGGATTGGCATCATACACGACAGTGGTAGGAACATTACTTGTGTCGAGCTAGAGAAGCCATATTGGGAGCTACCCCAGCTACGTCCACACTGGATTTCATGGCAGTTATGTGCGATGCAGACAGCTTTCACTATTTCAACCGAGTGCCTAGGCAAACACAGAAGCAGCCACATAAGACAATCAGGAAAAGACGCCGAGTTGTACAGGCTAAGGAGGAAGGACATAGTGCAGCGAGCTATCTAGTCCAGGCTATTCCTCTGAGAAATGCTGTCGGTGGAAATGTAGGTCAGTTATTCCCGCCATTAATTTAGGTAACTACTGCAAGCATTACACTATTTTGCATATTTCTCTACTGCAACGCTAGTCATCCGCAGCAGAAACAACGCCCCAAACTAAAAAGAAGTCTCGTTGCATTGTTAACACAGACATCAAGTCCATAAGCGACCTGAAGTTCATCAAAGCACAACCGAGACTCTCTCGGAAGTACCTGGTTCCTTTTCAGTAGTTATTGAATGAAAACACAGTGCAGTGGTGATTACCATCAGCACAGCCTTGCCACTGCTGTCCCTCGGGTGGCACATGCACGACATGGCCTGCAAGCCACATATATCTCTAAAAGAAAGCTGCATAGGATGCACTTGCCGTGGCTAGCGTCGCCACCCAGCGAGCTTGCACAAACCCTCTGCACGGCACGCAGTGCTGTTCAGAACAGAGCGGCACTGGCTAGCCAGTTAATGTGAAGGCTTGTAGTGTCTTGCTGCTGCCTTGGCAAAGCTGCAAGTCACCTCTTTCACGCCTTGTGGTGCCCATCAGCTTCAAAAGAAACGGTGTTGAATCGCGACCAGCTATAACCTGTCGCACAAGGGAGAAAAGGGTGTGAATGTGCAGACTCCTATCTGTTTGCTTTTGTCTAGCACGTGAGTTTTGTTTGAGAAGAAAACAACAATGACACTTCTTTCACAGTAATATGCAAAACAAAAACGAGAACGGCTCGGTTATTAATAAGTTGTGTGCAGCAGAGGCACGGGTGCGAGTGCGTAGCTCCGCAGAATGTTCATTTAGCACGGCTGCTCGTGCAAAAAGGGCGCTTTTGTGCTCGGGCCTGTGCCTTTTCTGCACACAACCTATGTTACAGAGTGTATAGCACGCCTTCGAGAGCACTCGCGTGCGGCAAGAAATCCATAATATACAGGGTACGATCGCAGGAAACCTCGCAGGGGTGCAGGAAGCTGCAAGTGCACGGTGCACCAGAATGTGAAACTAGAGGTGGTGATAGAATTTCAGTTTGAGAATATGACGTTACTTGGGTCAAAATATAGAAACGAAAAATGTAACTGCCTTACCGGCTGATAATAAGGGCCATCGGAGCACGACCAACTATTTGTTGTGATCGGGGCATTCGATTGGACGCGGGTTGGTAAAGATTTGAAAAGAATAAAACATGTAGGGACGAAGACAGACAGCGCAGTTCTTTGTTGACATGAAATGTAAGATAAAGCACATTATTCATTCGGATCAAATGGTTTTGTTGAATTAGGTTTAGCTCGCAAGTCAGCCGTTCTTCGGCGGGCTTTCAGCTTTCTGCGATTGTTGTTTTAATCGTGAACGCAGGCTCAAACAATGTAGGCAGCGGCGCCAAATAGATCTGAAACGAAGAAACAGCTCGGACGCGTGGAACGAACACACATAGAGATCACATCACAGGAAAACTCAAACCACTCACCTTTCGTTCGACGACGGTTCGTCAGGCACGATGTTTCCGATGTTTCTCCGGTTTCTCCGGGGCTCCGGGCGTCCGGGCGTTGAGGAGACCGCGTCTGTTTCCGTGCTCCTATTGGTCGTGACGTCACCAAATTTCATCGAATAAAGTGCGCGCCGAAGTTCTCTCTAGTCGCCGGTCACAGAAGAAGCCAAGCTCTTTGACTTTTGACTTGGCTTCTGAAGCAGTGGCACTGGCACCGGGCTAGCTTCGCTTGTGGAGCTTGCGCTGCTTGGGCGTTACGGTTGCGTCGGTTGCGCTCCGTTGGGTCCGTAGTTGGGTCCATCGGGTCTGCATCTCGAGTGTATCTGGTTTTGTTATAGCAGGTGTTTTTATGTATTGCGTTGGTTGAGTTAAAGAAGCTTTAGGTCGAATCAGCTGGGCGTATTATCATCAACTATGTCCATTTCCTTCATCCAGTTCACGTTGTGCGACCTGTGCAGAGTCTCCCATAATGTGGGCAAGAAGCACGTCTACTCCAAGAGGCACCAAGAGATCGTGAAGAACGTCTTGGCCAAATATCTGAGAAAGGTGACGACAACAAGAACGATAGTCCCTGGAAGCGACCATCCTGACATTTCATATACTTCGTGTTCTACCGCATATCGTCTTTTCCACGCCATTAGCGCTGTGCGACAACGGGCTCAGTTGTGGCGTCCAGTGAATACGACTTATTGCTTTTAGCTTCTTAATTCGCAATCGGTACTGCTGATATTTTCTAAGAGCACTGCTTTTTATAATGTCTTTTAGCATGGTAGCTACTTCTACTCTTATTTTACGAGGGGATGTCGCTCGAGACCTCGGGATGCTTAGGGGGTCTGTGGCATGACCGTCGATTATATCTGACTAAAGCGTGCTGTCGATTCCTTTCAGATAGTGGAGGCCAAGCAGTATCTCAAGGCACCCGAAGTTCATGACTTGCTGTGGGAAGATGGAGCGAAAGTGTGGTGCTACTTCTGCTCCACCGAAGTTCCAAAACATGAAAGAAAAGTCGACGCAGCACTGAGCTTCAGATGTCACACCTTTCTACTGCATCTTGCCACGTAAGGGACTCGCAACACCTGCGGGTAATTTGACCTGCAGGGGTTGTAAGTGTTGTGAATTTTGGTTGAACATCAAAAGATAGCCAGGCGGTCAAAATGAATCCTCAGTCATTCGTTGGGGCATGCCAGTTGCCCTTTGTTGGTTTGGCGCTGAAACCCCCGAATTTGCAATCATGGCAAGCAGAGAGCCTTGTGGGATGGGCTTGCCCTGCTATTTTACACCTGCAACAGACTATTAGCGACATGCACGACCAAAAGCGTCACTGCGGTTGCAATTCGCGATTGGCCAAACGCTCGCTGCATCTTTATTTGGATTAATATTTCTTTTATCGACGGAAATTGGCGCATTGCCCCAGTGTCAACTGTAACAATCTTAGTTTAAGAACGGGATGACTCCAACCTTCTATTGTTATTTTTACACACACCATCGGATTTGTGCTTCGCAACTGATGATAAGTAGTCAAGATTACACAACTCACGACGTCACGGCGAGGCGAATTCTGGCCGTGACGTCTTGAATGGAAAACCATAAGAGTGCACCACCGAAACATCTCAACGCTAATAAGTGCACTGTGCTCGCCAGCAATCTATGAAGTCACATTTGTGTCTACTGCCAATGGAAGGTGGTACTGTCTCTTGTTGGAGTAGCGTGTTGTTATGCGAGTTGAAACTTTTGCCTCCAATCATCATCTCTGCTGGAGCTACATTTCAATAAAAGATTCAACATTCTGTGATGCAAAGTTTATCTATGTGGTGCGAAAAATCCCTTGCTGGTTTCCATGGCAGACTCTGTACCATCTGCTGAAAATTATGCCTGATAGTTTAATGAGACTGTTGTGAATGGGGGGGGGGGGGGGGGGGGTCTGCACTCTTTGTGAATTTTGCAACATTTCAGTCTAATATGGCAGTGGACAACAATTGAGTCTTTTAATAGTTTTTTTATAATTTTAGCTTCTAGTCATTTTCCTTTGTCCACAGGCCGGAACATGAAGCAGCATGCAAGTCATTCTTTTGGAAAAACAAAATCAATAAATCTACAATTGGCCGCTACCTGCTGGATGTTTCGGACATAACTCGGTAAGTAAATCGAAAGAATAGAATCCTTGGCTTAGGTAGGCGACCGGATGCTAGTCTTCTGACAACAAAAATTGCTTCAAGTGGCAAGCTAGTTTTTATGTAACTTCATGCTTGCGTTTTCACTTCCGGAAGGAATGAAAATAACTTAATTTTATTGTTTTAATTTCTTCCGTCACAACAGCTATTTTATTATTTTGATGTCCCACATAAAGATAACTGCTTTTTCTGTTGTGTCATCCCCTGTTAAATACTTGCTTAATTATCTTGACGGATCCCGTAAATTAGCAAACTATTTCAACAGGTTTGTTTTGGGTTTGTGGGTGTGGCATCACTCGGGAAGGGGGGGGGATGGGCTTCTGCATACCGAGACGAATGGGGCCGGAACAGCTCAAGTGTCCTGGAGACTGGCATCTCTCAAGTACACCACATCTCGAGACCAAAAACTCCACTGGCAGGCACACTGCTTTTGAACATGTTTCTGCAGTGTCTGGTCTAGAAGGTACATCTGATGTAGCTCATGTTTTATTTTATGCAAGGTATGTCTATAGCAGTGCATTGTGGTGATTTCGTAACAATAAATGATCTGGCTGTGTAAGAATGTTGTCACCACCTGAGGAGCTAACTAAAGGCTTCTACTACCTGTCCGACACATTAAATGAGAACGCCAAACAAGCACAATCCTGTCCAGAGCCTCGGCATCTACCGTGCTTCGTTCGTGCAAGCACAGCCCAGCATAACGAAATCATGTGATGGTTGTCATGAACTTGCGTCGTTACAATATATTAAGTTAGTAGGTTGTTTATTTAACATTGTAAAGTATAGCACTGCAGAGAAGATAGTCTGCGCACTGTGCCAAAAGGCCTGGCTTTACATTCTTCATATTCACAATAAAACTGGGTAAAACGCTCATAAAAAATAACATAACTAAATAATGAAACTTCTTTCGTGTGGGACGTGAAAATAACAGTTGTAGGGATGTTGACTGCAAATGTTGAAATAGCCACTGCTTTTATAGTCTGCTTTGTAAAGTGAAAAATCCATGGAATGGATAGAACGAAAAAAGTATCAGTAAGAAGGTTAGAAAATTTGCACCCTGCCTTGTAGAGAGCAGGTGATTAATTTGTTCTTGTAGCTGGCACTTTCTCACTGACATTTCTTTTCTTGCACAGATGTGAATCCTTGCTTAAAGTTGCAGAAGAGAAGTATCTGGAGAAAATGGAAAAGCTTCATCAGAAGGTAAAGTGTCTTGGCCGTGGCCTGGCGAGAAATCGGACATTTGCAACAGTGTAAATGTGGGAAAGCAGAATTGCTGCGAGCAGAGCAGATCCTTCAATACTGTGAAAATATTCCCTGATGAAACAAACAGCTTAAATGCAACTGAATTTGCAGACATGAAATTTATTACTAAGATTATCAGGCTGAGAGAGAACATTTATACAGGCTTTAACTAGAAGACATTGAAGTCCTCATATCCTTTGCATGCTCGTGCAAATCAAGGCAATTTGCAAATAATAGTTTCTTGATTCTAAAAATTTGACAAACTGCATGCACAAAATGTAATTGGGCTTTCATGCTACATCTTAATGCAGCCAAATTTGCAGACATAAAATTTATTACTAAGGTAATTAAACCAAACAATTTTTATATGCTGACTTTTAACTCTGAAGACAGTCAAGTTTTCATATCCTTTGCACGCTTGTGCACACCAAGGCAATTTGCAAAAAATGGTTTCTTGCCACTCAAAATTTGACGAACTGCATGCATCAAGTGTAATTGGGCTTTCATGCTACATCATTACATGATTTCTAACTGATATAGTAGCTGCTTGTACATAAAATCTTTCACTCTCCAGCAAGTATGTGAGCTTTGGCTTGTTGGCTGTGGTGGCTTTTTCAGATGGTAGCGGACATGCGAAGGACGGATGAATGGAGAGCGGCTTCTCAAGCCAATCTTCGCCTCCAGGTCTGTTCTGGGTGAACCGTATCCACACACGGCTTGTCTTCGAACTATAGTTATAAAAAGGGCAGTTCCTTTGACTCTTAGCTTTGGGAACTAGCCATTTGTATACTCCATTCACCCCTAGGCTGACAATGCAGTGGAAGCTATGCACTCGCCAAACCGATCGACCACACCTCTTTCATCACCTGACTCCACTTTTTGCTCATTGAAATGGGTGGGAAGGTGATCACGTGGTGAAAGGTAGGCATATTACTGGTCCAACGAGCACATAGCTTTCTTCGCAGTGTCAGCTTAGGGGTGAACGGAGTGTAGCGCTTGTTGCTTGGGATTGACCGGCTAGCTACTTACGTATGTGATCGGTATACTAGCATAGTTTTCAGTCTACATTGACTTCAATATGGCCAGAAATTATTGATACCTTTTCAGTGAGATTGAAATGAAGTGCAGCTTTACAGTTCTAAGCTCTTTGAAAAGCCCTGCTCTTCACATATATCTATAGCAGAAAACACCCGCTTCTGTTATTGTAATATTTTTTCCAAAGTTATTTTTTTACTCTTTTTAATGATTGGTGGCTTGCAGGGAACTGATAGGATTTGATTAGCAAGTGTGACTTGATTGAAAGCCTTAATAAATTGAAGATGGTAAAGATCTAAGCAAGTTTTTACTCTAGAACCAGGTGGTTAAGTTGTTATTCAACATCCACCACTTTATTCATAAAGCAATGCTGTTTAATCTGTTGGACTGCATGGTGTTTACACGAGTTGATAGTTAATTACTGCACCGCGGCAGAACCAAGGATCTAATCTGTAACACCTCGGCACTTCAACTGGCAGATCTAGGGCACTCCCAGTTGCAAGTTCGCCTTGTTACATAAGCTTCTCAGCTCATTAAATTCTTCCATTGAAGGTGTCTTAGTCTTAGGAGGTTGAGCATTAAGAACAAGGTCGCATACTTCTGTTGTGCCAGGAGATCTTTATTCGTTTGTTTAATAATCTTGCTTTTACACTGAAATGCCACTGGCTGGGCCCTCAGAAATCGGCCAGTTCGAGTGCTATACGTTCCACAATCAGAAAGATTGTTGTACCATGTTGTGAATCCTGAATACATGGCTAGCAGCAATTGCCAACGAGCTTTGGACCAAGCTTGCCTTCTGAGCCTGGTTGCAGCAGCTGGTCTGCAGAAAGTCATAACTCACTGCATAAGGAGCAGGTAGGTGAACCTTTGTCTCTAGTGTGCAGTGCATGTAGATGCCAGTACAATACAGATCCAAGAGGCGTCACACAGCGCTCGAGGAGGAGGAGGGAAGAAGGAGAGATATGAAAGAATATGAGGAGGAGGAGAGAGAGAAAGAACAGGTAAAAAGGAAAGTGGAAAAAAAGTATTTGTTGAGAGAAAAAAGTAAAACGTGGAAATGCCGCCAGTCTTGTGTCCCCCGTGCTCAGCAGAACATTGAAGGGATCACATTGCGGTCGGAGAGGTCCCCCTCCCGATTTGTTATGGGTACTTAGACAAGTATTTGTTTAGAGTGTTATAAGAATAATCACCAGAAAGGCGAGAACTATCGAATTAACTGATTTATTTTCTTTCGAGACATGCTCAGCTTGGTTTATTCCTGAGAGAATTAAACAACGAGAATTACAGTATATTTGGTCTCTTGTGTTATTAAAAATGCAGCACGTAGGTGGGGCGGTGTCATTTCAAATGCTATTGCATCAAGTCGGGGTCAAAAGGAATCGTACAACCCCCCCCCCCCCCCTCCCGTCTTACGTTGGCCCTCGACGTTCCAGATGTGGGCTATCTGGCTCCACACTTGAATGAGTTGAGACCACTGCGTCTAAACGCTTGGAGATTGACTGGTTTGAAAGAGGCTGCGAGCCGAGCTATGCAGAAAATAGAGAAAGCAGCGGCGGGGCAGGGACACGGATTGAGTGGCATTTTCATGTTTTTTCTTTTTTTTTTTTCTCAACAAAGTTTTGGGGGCTTTCCTCGAGTATCCTCCTCACACGCTCCTCCTCTCCTTCCTTTTTTCCTCCTCCTCGAGCGTAGTGCGACGCCTCTTGGATGTGTACCGCCAGTATTATATTTTTCTCTGCTCTCGGTGTAGAGTGCACAGGGGAAAATTTCTACTGAAAAGACGTTTTTCTCTTTGGTAGTACGCTCCCGGTGCATAGCAGAAAAGCAATTTTCACACAGAGCATTCCTTGAGAAGTGCCTGCTTTGTTATTGCATATAAAGCTTGTATCATCAGAAATCATTATTAACATAATCTCTTATTCATAAGATCTGTCACATCTCATCATAATGAACAATCTTGAAAAAGCTAATCCTTGTGAAGTCCACACCAGCAGGTATTCCGCAACACATAAAATATAAACGTTTAGACATGTATAGTTTGCGGTCTGTAGCTCAGAAAATGCTGTAGACGCCCATTTTTAACTTGGCAGTATTTACTTATTTATTTAGTTTCACTTTTGGAGTCCTATGACAGCCCCGTGGCCTACGAAGAGTGCATTTACTAACAAATATACATGTAAAATAAGTAAAAATTTCAAATAATGACATATTCAAAATAAATTGTGCAACAGAAGGTAAGCCTTGCATCTGTTTTTTCCCCAATAAAGTTTGAACAATTTAGGATAGCATATTAAGCTAACAGCTACCTGCTAAATGTTGGGAGGAAAAATAGCAACCTTATGGCATTGACAAGGGGAGAAAAAATAGCAGCTTCATGACATTGACAACCTTGAAAATTCTGAAATCATGGTGGTCTTGTGAGTCCCTCAAAGCATGATAAAAGTCAAGTTTCTGTTTGATGCAGTTGTCACAAAGATGTATGATGCAAGCCTAGGGCAACCAAACTGTGAAGGCACTTGTGCAAAAATGGTAAAGGAGTAGCGAAAATCCAAAAGGTTGAGTATTGGCTTGTGGCTTAAATATAATTTTCTTTTCAAAATGGATCTTGCAGGAATTAGAATAACTTCTGTACAGTTCTCAGCTCATCTGCGTTTTGTGCTTCATGCCACATCAAAAATTATACTTTGACCAAGTAAGAAATTTAAGGTAATGCTAAAAGCAAAAGTAAGGTTGGAAAAGACAAGTCATTCTTGGGATTTGGCTTAATGTGCTGCAATATACACTGCATGGACCTTCCACATGTCCGGAAATTTTGTCCGGAGACAGACCTAACTCCCAGGCTGCTGCAATATTCACAATCTGGGACACATGCAAAATGCATGCAAAAGGGACACCACAACTCTTCTGTATAAAGGTTATTTAACACAAAGAAGCTAAAATAAGGGATGATTTATCTACTTTCTACGGTACTTAGAATGATCAAATCACTTACTTTTCTGCTTGTTGCAAATATGCAACAACATAATATCTGTTTAAAGAAAACTTGGCCTTGCGTAATAATATTTCATAGTGCCACAAAAATATAATTAATGTCTCCAGATCACTGGTTCTCAAACAGGGTCCACATACTCTTTGGGGTCCCAGAATGCCGTCTTGGGAACCCTAAAACCCACAATCAATCAAGGCGAGCAATAAAACTTTTTTTTTTTTTTGGTGCTTACTGTTCCAGAAATTTAGATAGTAGGCCAAACCCTGTGTGCTGATTGAGTATAGGGTTGGTTACTCCCCGTTTCAGTGCTTCAAAGTTGGTTTGAACGAAAGTTGGTTTGAACACATCTTGTCTTCTTCATTTACCCTTTTGTCATTTTGTTCACCCAACATTCCCTTCCCCCTTAGTGAACGATTCTCCCACATCACCTCCGCCGACCGAGAAGGGCTCCTTGAAGGATTGGCAGTTGAGAACCAGTCCTCTAGATTTTCACTATTTTTTTCTCAAATTTTGGATGTAGGACTGTGAAACTCAACATAATCATCGAAAACCTCCTAATTTTATCAGAGCGAAATAAACATTGACCTACACTCATGCTGAACCCACAAGAAAAGAAAAAGAATGTGGACTGAAAGATCCAGTGTGGGGGCGTCCCACGCAACATTTGTTAATTGTCCTTGGACAGGATTCTTGAGCTTGCAGAACTAGGCCCAAATATTTTTGCAGTCGCGAATCAGTCCTACGAGTAGGCATGTTCCACAAAGGAAACGGTAGCGCCCTGCATCAACTGAATAGAAAAGTTTAGCCACATGGTCACTTTGTTTTGTGAATTTACTCTCGTGCTTTTTTATGCCTTTGGAAGATGCAGCCAACACCCAAGGGAAACATCTTCAGTGGAGCTCGGCCCCCGTGGCTAGATGACGACGACGATGACGACGAACCTGCCAGTGGGGCGCCCCTCGCAAAACGAACGTGCGTCGGGCAGATATCGCAGAAGCCCATTGGGCCATCTTTGGAGGATTTCAAGCAGCATCGTACGTGGGGCTCACAACCTCTCCCGCTTTTACGAAATTCACCCTCTTTTCATCTTCTGCACTGACATTCGTTTACACTTGCAGAATGAGGATGCCAATGCACGGCGTGTCTGTCTTACCATGGTTAGGTCGCCCTCAGTGGGTCAGTCTATTGCGACGGTACTTCTGGATGAACGAGTACATTTCAAGTTAGCAAGTCTTATTTGTCGTCGGAGGTTGGTGAAAGGCAAAAATCTAGACTGACTTCAGCACTAGGGATTTTCGAGTTTAGGGAAAAAAAAGCTACAAAATCGGTTGCTTTCAATCAAGTTGCGAATAACATTGTCTGAGCTTTGTACATTGCTTGATTGTCGTGAACCCAGAATGCGGGAAACCTGAGCTGATATGTGTATAATTACATTCCCAAACAGCCAACGGAATACCAAAAAACCCGTGTTTATTCAGGATGCCATACCTTATATACACACATGAGGACACCATGTGTCCAACCGAGCGTCTGAAACCGAAACTAGACAATGTACTATAATGCACACGATTCACGATACACAACATATTCCCTTCCTTGAATTTGTTTGGGTGAGCATTGGTCAGTAGGTTATTTGGTTTGTGCATTGTGAGCAGCAACTTGCCCATCAGATACTATAAGCAACAAATATATACATATGTACATCATAAAATTTTTGCAAACAACAGCATTATGCAATTTTACAGAACTTACATCTGTCCTCTACATATGAAAGCCCACAAGCACAATGGATAACGTACTACAAAAATCGAAGGGAACACTAGACATCATCCCGGAATCTAACAGGTGGACGCCTGTCCCTGTTTAGTTACACTCGACGCTCCGGACCAGTTTCTTCAGGCGGTCTAGTTTGCTGGCACGGCACGCTCTCTTCGTGTGGCATAGTTTGCTGGCATGGCACAGGCTCTTCATGTGACACAGTTTGCTAGCACAGCACAGGCTCCTCGGGCGGCACAGGTTCCTGGGCTGGCACAGTTTGTACTTGCAACTGGGATGAAGCACTGCCAGCCGGTGCAACAACTGAGCTACCACCGTGGAGCACCCATGTGTCACTCGGCTCAATGCAATCCTGGTCAGCCGCAAGTGCAGGCACCTTGCACAACTTGGAGGCGTTCCAAGTATGTCCGTCGTCGAGAAGGAAGGACGACGGGCCACGCTGCTTGACCTTCTTTGAAGGACTGAAAACAGGATCACCCTTCAAAACGCGGATGGCATCTTAACTTTGCACGTGGTCTCCTACAGCAACCTTTCTGTTCTTTGCTGCTCTCCTTTTGTCGATGTACTGTTTGCTGTAGAGCTGATGACGCTTCACTCGCTGACAGTTCTCTTGCTGGTTCCTCCTAGAGTAATGGTGATGGGAAGCCAACTACGTTCAGCCGAGTTCTTGGCAATCTCCCATGAAGGAGAACAGCAGGGGCAATCCCTGTAGTAGCACGCAGAGTGCATCTGTAGATTCCGAGGTACTCGGTGATAACCAGTCGCTGCGGTCAACGGCCCAGCACAGCCAGCTGAATGAATGTCTTGAGAGTGCGATTGAAACATTCTATTTGACCATTGACTTGAGGATAGTAAACTGATGAATGCGAGAGCTGAATTGACCGTTCTTGCAGAAAGCGGAAAAACTCCCTGAACGTGAATTGCAGACCGTTATCAGATGCTATCTCGTCAGAGTAGCCTTCTCTGGCGAACATGATGAGCAAGAACTTTGTTACAGTTTTGATGTTACTTCCGAGCAGAGATGGACTTCCAACCATTTGGAGTGGTAGTCGATCAGAGTAATTATGAACTGGAAGTTTGAAGGGCTCTCTCCAGGAGACCAACTATGTCTATTGCAATCTTCTGCCATGGCCGTACCAGTAACTTAATCGGTTGCATTGGAGTGGGTGATGTCTTGGTTGACTTGTTGGCTTCCTGGCAAGTACTGCAGCTCTTGATTGCTGTCTCAACTTGCTTGTCCATTCCCGGCGACCAGAAATGTTCGCAAAGCCTTGCCATAGTGCAAACGATTCCTGGGTGGCTTTTATGCGCCGTAGCAATGAGCTGGGCCGACAGAGACAGGGGAACAACCAGCCTCTCTGCTCGTATTAAGATCTCTACCACTGACAGTTCTTCTCGAATTCTGAAAAACGGCAACAGATTTTCAAGAAGGCTTCTGTGCGGAGGCCAATAACCGGTGATGTAGGACTTCACTTGGGTCAGAACAGCGTTACTCAGAACTGCTTCTTGAAATTAATCCATGGTCACACACGTAGGCTCAGCAAGGCAGACAGCTTCTTCCTCAAAAACCAGTTCAGGGGCCATGGTCAGGATGGGCAGACATGATAGAGTGTTCGCTACATTGTTCTGCGCACCTTTTTGATACTCTACTGTAAAGTTATAGCAGAGCAGTCTTGCACACCAGCGTTCAACCCTAAGGGGACGTCGTCCCAAACCATGTGAAGACAGAAGCGATACCAGGGCTTGGTGGTCTGTTCGCAGCGTAAATAGGTGTCCCCAGAGGAACAGATGCCAGTGTTCACACCCCCTAATTGCAGGCCAATGCTTCTTTTTCGCCATCGTCGTACTTCCTTTTAGTGGTGAGAGAATGCGTGAAGCAAAAGCAACGGTGCGAAGTGTCTGGCCCTGTCGCCGCTGGAGGACAGCTCCTAGTCCGCATTCAGGCGCATCCTGAATGCGAACTAGGAGCGTCGAGACTACAATTAGAAGAGCAGGGTCGAACATATGAAGCACCAGGTCAGAAGAAAGCAGGAGCTTTACCTTGCAAAAGCTGGCATCAACCTGTGAGGATTACACAAACGGTTGGTTTTTACGAAGAAGAGCTCTCATTGACTCCACGACTTCGGCTAGGTGAAGAACGAACTTTGAATAATAGTCCACAAGACCCAGAAAGGAGCTAAGTTCTGCAGCCTTGGCTGGAGCAGGCGTGTTTGTAATCGAATCTACCTTTTGTGGGAGATGCTAAATACCTTGGGCAGTCACCTTGTGACCTAGGAATGTCAAGCTCTGTGACATTGAAAACACTTATGTCATTCAGTTTAAGGCCCGCATCCTTGATGCGTTGCAAGACTTTGCCGAGGTTCTGAAAATGTTCCTTCAACGACTTGCCGAAGGCAATAGCGTCATGAATATAAAAGAGGATTCCAGCACAGCTGTGAAGAATCTGTGACACCAGGCATTGGAACGCTGCTGGTGCCAAGGCCAATCTAAAACAAACTCTTTTGAAATAGAACAACCCGTCGTGGGTGATGGAGGCTCTTAAGTCTCTACTGTCTTTGTGCAGAAGGACCTGGTGGCAAGCCGAAGCTAGATCAAGTTTTGAAAAGTGGGTCGCTCCCACCAGTGCATGAAGCAGCTCTTTCATGTGTGGCAGGGGGAACGTGTCGGGAATGATGGCCTTGTTGGGTTCACGAAGGTCCACGCACAGTCCAATGCTCGCATCTCTCTTCTAAATGACAACTATGGGAGAAACTCTCTGACGCTTCAACGCATTCAATGATGTCGAGACTTTCCAGATGCTGAAGCTCAGCTTACACCCGAAATAGCAAAAAGAAAGGCAGGCGATGAAGCTTTGATGCTACGGACTGAACCGCAGAGCGCGTCTTGACTTTGTGAACAAAGCCTTTGGCGAGGCCTAAGCCTGGAGGGAAAAGAGGCTTGAAGTGTGCAAGAGCTGAAGGCAGTGGCAGACGGGCAACTGCACTGGAGGTCTGTTCCTCAGGGACGGAAAAAGCTTGAAGGCATTGCATAGTGGTCCCTTCAATGCACAAGTGCTCCACAACATAGAAGAGAAGATGCACCTTGCGTCCTTGAAAAGAGACTTCTGAGAAGAAGCAACCTCGAGCTGAAATGGGCTTTTTCCAGAAATCTAGCAGGGTGACGCGCGGAACAGGCAGAAGAACTAGACCCGGTAAGTGTTCGTCGACTTGTTTCGACAAAATGGACACTGATGACCCAGAGTCAATAGAAGTTGCAAGGTAACCTGCCTGACTCAAACATCGATGTGAATTCCACAGGTTGCAGGATGCTGAAGAACAAGGACCTGAACGGCGTCATCCTCCGACGAGTTGTCAACCACTACCTCGTAAACGGTCGACTGCGAGCTTTTCTGGTTGCACACTTTCTTGAAATGTCCAATGCTAAAACAATATGAACAGCGTTGTTCATGTGCTGGACGAGTCCATGATGCGTGGTGCCGACGAGAGCCGCAGCGGAAGCAGTGCAGGGAATGTGCGCATGGTGCTGAAGGCGAGCGACAGTGGTTGTGGCGGTCACGAGATGAAAGGCGCTTCTCTTGAGCAGCGCGTGAACTGGTAGCGCATCGGGGAACACGCTGCTGGTGACTTCGTGTAGCGTGCCGTTAACGTTAAAGCTTTGAAGACAGCTCGGAATACTTGTTAGGGCGCGCCGACACTGGTTGTACGAACGCGGAAAATCCCTTCATTTCGTTGGCCGCTTCTTCTTGTTGAACGGCTATCTGCACTGTGGTAGAAAACGGTAGTGAAGAACGTTCCAGCAACAGACATTCACGAACGCGGTTAGAAGACATGCCGGTCACGAACTTGTCTCGTAGTGCCCCTTCTTGCGATGCGAAGCAACACGGCAATGCGAGCTCACGTAGCGTGGCAAAAAGGTCATGAATAGACTTGCCTGGAGATTGGAAACACCTGTGGAAGCAGTGTCGCTCGATGGCCAGGTTGCTGGTTGTGGCGAAGTGCTGGGCCAAGGAAGTGACGGCAATGTCGTACTTGTTCGGCTTGCTCGTTGTATCTTTGTCTTTGTCTTGAGCGGTGCTTAGAGGCTTTGTGTCAGATAACGTGTTGAAAATTCTATGTCCTTAGGCTCACAGACAGTGCAGCAGAAGGGCCTTGCGTCGCTCCGGAGGAAATCCGGTAGCACCAGACGCAAGCAGGTAGACGTTGAACATGCCATGCCACTTCAGCCAGGGCACAGACAGGCGTCCCGGTGTTGGCAGGAAAGGTTCTGGAGGGGTGAGACCGGCAAAGGCCATGGCGAGTCTCGTTAGGGACGGTGCCGTTCACGCGCTAAATATCGAAGAAAAAAGGATAGGGCATCCTCGTCACCATGTAATGACGTTCCTAAGCAGCCGACGGAATACCGAAAAACCCGCGTTTATTCAGGACGCCATACCTTATACACAGACACGAGGACACCATGTTGCCAACGGAGCATCTGAAACCGAAACTAGACACTGTTCCATAACTCACACAGTACACAACAATATGCAGCAGTTGGGAGGTACCAAAGGAGTTCTAGATGCAAGTTTTGAAAGGTCCGTTGATCAAGCTGGCATTGCGGAACTGGACGGGCCTTCCCTTTCTCAATCGATTGTCACTGGGACATTGTGTTATTTTTTTGCACATCCTCAGCTGCAGAGGGCTATTTTATGTTCAAGTTGTTGTTAGTCTTTCATGTTCTGTATTCTTTAGATGACTATAGTCCATTGCAGTCATCTTCTGTTTCACTCACAGCGATCCTTACTGAATGGACAATCCATTCAGTCTAGATTTCCATTCAGGGGTATGCTGGTTTATTCAGTTTGTCGGTCCAGAGACAATCCATTCTTTAGCAGGTTTTAAAAGGAAGTACAGTCAAATCCCGCTACAATGAAATTGACGGTGCGCAAGAAAAAATTCGTTGGAGCGAAAATTTTGTTGTTGTGAAATTCACAGAAGGATGGCATACCTGAACTGATAGAGTACGGAAATCTTTATTTCCAGAGTGTATCGAGCGTCGCCCGCTTCCTTTTTCTTGTTGGGAGCTCCGTGACGCGGTTTTTGCATTCGGCAATTCGGTTCATGGCGAGGTCGTCATCATGCGCAGCCACGTAGCTTCTGAGAACGTCGGAACGCATCCAGTATGCGCACCATGGAAGGCGGAGGCTGCAGGTTCGGCACGTCGTCTCCATCTGACTGCGCCTCGTCGCGGACACTTTTTATAATGTCTTTGCCACTCACTTCTTCATGAGCGATAACATTCATGTCAGCGTCGATGACATCTTCCAGCGCGACACCAGACGGTGCAGTTCCGGCATCCTGAAGCGCAGCCCAACAAGTAACAGCCTCTCCCGGCAGACGCACTGTTTCGTTATCCTCAGCAGAGTTGGCGTCTGGGTCTCCGTCGGCGTCTGGGTCTCCGAGCTTGAAGCCCGCGTGCGTGAAGCAGTTGGCGATGACTGAACAAGAGCCTTTTTGATTGCATCTTTCTACTTTAGGATTGTCGACAACAAATTCAGAGGAACTTTTCGGCGATGACAACTTTCTTCTGTCCACTTGCAACTTCGGCGGGATGCAAGCTTTATCTTTTAAGGACAAAAACTTTTGCGTTTTGCTTGGCGGTGCCATCATGCCATTCGGAAAAAGCCCGCATACCGTTGTTGTCGTCGTACTGTACTGATAAAATGACAGCCGACAAAAAAGAAGAAAAAAACAACAACAAAAAGACCCAGCTTCGGCTTTGGGTAGTCGGCAGCAGAGCGTTGTCAAGCCAAGAGCTAGAGCAACATCGGTGCAACAGCGTAGGAAGGCCAGCCTCATCGCCGTCAAGTAATGGCAGCCTGCACGCCCGGTAACGTTGACGCTCGGTCAACGTTGCGCTCGAGTACCGGTTATTAGTGGCAGTTTCTGGTGATTCAACACATGATTTAAACTTTATAGTAGACATATTTTATGTGCCAAAATGCACCAGTGCTCGAAAGTTTGTTTTCCGTACGGAAAATTAAACTTTCGAACTTCGAATTGCTCTGTAAAATTTCGTTCAAGCGGAACAGCACAAGAAACAGTGTTCGCTGTAGTGAGGATTCTTATGCATTGACTCTTATGGACTGTTGACGGGGAACGGAAAAATATTCTTTGAACAGGAAATTTCATTGTTTCATCGGCGTTCATTGAAGCGGGGTTAGACTGTACTATTTTTCAATTAGTCTCCATGGGTCAGTGACCCTCTATGTCACCCCCCATTCATAGGGAATAAAGCACTTGAGAACAAAATGGAAATTAGATACTTAGTCCTGCCTTTTTTAATGTAAAGTACCGAACAGGCACCCACTCCAAAGCATAGGTTATTTCGTCAAATTTGAGTAGGGTGCTTTCAGGAGCCAAATTTCACAGTTTATGGAAAACCGGGTGGGCACTCGCACAAGCATGGGGTTTTGTGCACCTTAGTAGTTTGGCTTAGTGCCGTAGAGAAAAACTATACCTGTTTCAAATTTTGTAAATGAAAGAGAGTTAAACAACTACTGATTGGTGAAAGTTTAAAAAAAATTACTTCATGGTTTGTTAAGTAGTATACCTAGTACCTTCATAGCATCCTTGTCATTTTTTTGCTTACTTTGTACCATAAAAAAATCTGATCAAGTGACAAGTTAGCAATTTGAGTGCAACCTCAATCTGCTATCATCTGAAGCTGGCCAGTGGCTTAACATTGTGTCTGCTTCACTTTCAGGGGAAGCTGAGAAGAGGAAGAAGCTGAATCCGAGGCGTGTGGGGGCCAACTTTGATCACTTCTCGGAGACATCTGACGAATGGCTGCCCTCTTTTGGTCGCGTCTGGAATTTTGGAAGGAGGTGGCAGTCTAGGTAAGCACATCATATATAAAACTTTCTTCTAGCAATCATGTTATTCTAATACTGCCTTGTTTATGTTCAATCCAGCTGAAAATTCTACATTTCTGTTTAGCTCAAGACTCTTGAACTATACGAAATAAAGGAACCCCAAGCTTTGTGCATCTGACAAAAGTCAAGAGTGAAGCGTTCTTAGAATTTCAACTTTAATTAGACTCTTTTGAGACCCTTTATGTTGAAACTTGTCATATAATGTAGTATGCCTCAGCAGAAATTTCTTGTTTTGTGTCGATACAAAAGGTATGATTGCTGAAATTCTTAGCGGCTCAAAGTGTATTTTGTAGCTAGGGGTGTCGCGAACTTGCCGAGTTTCAACACTCCTCAAAGGACGAATTTCATCTAACTTTGCCAAAGGTTTGAAGGTTCGGTGAACCAGTTAAACCTCAAGGTTCAGTAAAGGTTCACAACATCCCTAGTTATAACCATGTGCTCCTTTGTTTTTTTTCTTAACGTTTTAGGCTGAAATTCTACGAGCTTCTATGATGCAACCAAAGTATCACTTGCTGCAACTTTAGCTTGAGGAATTTGGCACGATATCGAAGTTATACAGAACTTCATGTTTGAAATCTTGAAATTCTGTTCAGAAATGCCCACAAAAATATTACTGCAATGTTGTCTATTACAATGTTACAGTTAATACTACGTATTCAATTTATCTCTAGTCCCCCTCTATCCTTTGGAGGTAATAGATACTTCCAAGTTTGCGAAGGTGCCAAGAGGTACGTCCTGGATCACACTATTTGGATTCCAAAATACTGATACTTAAAGGGAAGCTGAAAAGGTTTTTGAAAGAAACGAGTTAGAACTGAATTCTAGAGTATTTTTATCCCATAAATCTGAATATAATGCTTGTTTTCCCTGAGTTTATGAATACTGAAATACGGCAAAACATGTCTAGCCCTGACAGCCTCGGGTGTACACTTGAATGCCTGGCTTACGAGGTCTTTTTTTTTCTTTACCTCAAATTCTGAAACAGTTTATGAGCAGAAATGTTATTTTTTGTTGTTTTCGTTTCAGGCATCAGTTTCGAAGAGAAGAAAACAAACCAAAATAGGTGGAGTCACAATGGAGATGGCAGCATTTTTTTTTTTGCGATAAGCCTAAAATGTTTTTTTTTCATTAAAAGCAGTGTTGAAGAAGAGTTTATTGTCATGTTTTGTTCAAAGTGACTATTGAAATGCTTTATAAACTACATGGATGGTTTTACCTGAACATGTAAAATACCAAAGCATCTACCGAAATTTCGGTGACAATTGGGTGAAACAAAATCATGGGTGCTTGTTGAGCCCAAACAGCAAAAGACAAAATGATGACCATGACCATTGACGAAACTTCCAGGCAAAGAAACAATAATTCTCAAACTTGTCTGCTGAAAAAGAAAAAAAGTCACAATGATAGTCGGGCGATTTCAGATAAGATCGACCAAAGGGTGGCTGGCCGACATTTTTAAATCGACTGATGTTTTTATATGCCATTGTCGAGTGTGGTATAAACAAATCCCACTTAATTTTGACCAAACAAAATTTTTGAGAGCCTCGTAGGGCATGAGGAAATGGGCAGCTGCATTAACCTGCACTGATGGAGGGGGCACGTTTAAAAATAGATAACAAACAAGAAACTTAGGAGAATTTTAATACTTTCTAGAAAACAACTGGGTACAGCTTGCTTGTAATTTATAGTTATAATATTTATTTAAATTATATTTTTTTTCTAAACATTGCCAAACATGCCTGCTCGAACGACAAATGGCTAAATTTGAAGGCCTGTATCTCATGAAATAATTTAATCACCATCATATACTTTTCAGATAGTATTCTAATTATATAAGAATATAATTTAAAATATGTATTAGGTATCTGAGTGATAAGATAGTCGTGATACACTTAAGCAAACAAGAAAAAAAAAATTCCAATGCAAAAAGAAACTTTGGTCTTTTTTTAAATTTGGGTGTATTGTTTTATTTTATTTTGGAATTCATTTATATTAAAACATGCTGCATTAATTGATTGAGAAAAAAGTCAAAACTCCACAAAATAGGGTCCTTTTTCAAAGCCTACACTTAGCAGAGCCCTATACGAGAAGTGACTGAGTTTCAGTTTCATTAGACTAATATATTTTATATATTTTTATTCAGATGAGGCCATTGATTACTATAATCGTTCACACAGTAGAAGCGAAGAAAAAATACTAATGTGTACAAAGAGCTATCATATTACAGGGTAGTGATCCGAGAAAAGATCCTGCAGCCATCGGCCACTGGTAATTTTGTTTATTTTATTGTCCTATGACACTATATGCTCCTCTCTATTCCCCTCTATCTCCATCTCTCTCTTTTATATATATCCCTGACTTATATCTAGAATAAAAACATATTCAATTATTCCCTTTCTGCGTGAGTCTTCTGTCGCCAGCAACAATCATTTCCTCGCGAAGGTCACAATTATGGCGCAATAGTTGACGGAGGTAGCAGACAACACTCGTCGCAAGTTCTTGCAAAACGGCCGATAAAAGTTTTTAGAGCGCAGCTCCTAGGCGCCCGTCTCCGGCTTGAGCGGCGGCGCCGTAGGCGTAACCACGCGGTGCATTATGGGACGCGTGACGTCACTGATGATCTCATCGTCAGTGATGACGTCACTGATATGAGTAAGGATGACATCACACGTGACCTCACAGGGGTCACGTGACCCCATGAGGTAACGTGACCCTTGTGAGACAATGGCGACGCCGCTCGGAGGGAGGAGTAGCAGACAGGATGAGGAGGTGAGGAGGAGTATACCTTCCCCTCAGTACCCCTCCCTCCTCCTCCTCAAGAGCTGCGCTCTAATTCGGCGTTACAGGGGTAAATGGCTTTATTTCAGAGCGCAGCTCTTAGGGGCCCGTTCCCGGCTTGAGCGGCGTCGCCGTCGGCGTCGGCGTAACCAAGGTCACCCCAAGGTCACGTGACCCCTCCCCAGAGGTCACGTGACCCCTCCCCAGGGTCACATGACCCTGTCATGATTGTGAAGGAAAAAGAAGAATTAGGGAAGGGCGAGCGGCCTACAGACAGGCCGAAGAGAAGGAAGAAGGGGATATAAGAAGCAAAGGGTGTACTTGGAGAAGGACGTCCTTGGCTCTGCTCTGAGGCGAGGTCACCAGCCACTGGCTACGCTCCAGTGTAGCGAAGCAACCTCACCGACCTCCAAGACTCCTACCTAGCGACATCGCACCCCAGAGACGACCACGAGAAGCAGCTGGCCCGGCTTCAGCATTTCAAGGTCGTGAGTGACGATCAACATTCAGGGGACTGGGTCACGGGGACCGATAGGGTTTGACTTTTGGGATTTACTTTCTTGTACATAACACTAGTGTTCTTTACGTTGCAAATATATGTTTTATTGTTCTACTTGCTCGACCTCTGCCTCCACTGGTTCCGTGTACCGTTCTGGTCGAACGCGACAATTTGGCGAGCCTGCCAGGATGCCCTTAATTTGATCACGCCGGCCGGAACGTGCGCGGATTGGTGGAGTCAAGTGAGGCAGTATGGATAGCGAACGATTATTGGCGGTGGGGAAAGAGTTAGGCTACCAAGGAGGTGAGTTGAGGAAGTGGATAGAAGACGAAAAGGCTAGCGCAAGGGAGGAAAGAGCGATGGCTAGACAAGAACGAGAGTTAGAATGCGCTAAACTAGAGAAAGAGCGGGAAATTTTGCAACTTAGGTTAGCGGTACAGGAAGCCGCAGGGACCTCCTCTGAGAGAAGTGGGGACAATAGAGAAGGAGGGACGAACGGACAGAGACATCACTTCAGTCCGCACAAGCTGATTCCCCAATTTAACGATGCTCGGGATGACCTGGATGTATATCTTCAGCGGTTCGAACGTACGGCGGCGGGACTTGATTGGCCGCAGCAAAAATGGGCCACAACGTTAAGTCTGTGCTTGACCGGCGAAGCACTTACAGTAGTTGACCGTATGTCCCCAGCGGATGCATTGGATTATTCGAAAGTGAAACTTGGCACTCATGCAGAGATTCCGATACACGGAAGAGGGCTACCGAGAAAGATTTCGAGAAGCAAAACCCGATGACGGGGAAACGAGAAAGCAGTTTGCCGCCCGACTAGCAGGGTATTTCGACCGATGGATAGAGATTGCAGGCGTGGAACGAACGTTTGAGGCCCTCCGGGACAAAGTACTCGTTGAACAGTTTCTACAGAGTTGTTCTAGTCGCTTGTCGGTGTTCCTTAGGGAACGAGACTGCCACACACTAGAGGAGGTAGCTTCCAAAGCCGATTTATATCTGGAGGCCCAGATAGCAACAGGAGCAAACAAGCCGAAGGTGGAAGAGATGGCTAAGAAGTCGAGCACCGAAGACACAGAGAGAGTGGCGAGGGGTGGAAGTAGAAAGACCATCCGGTGCTTTCTCTGCAACAAGGTCGGCCATAAGGCAGAAAACTGCCGCAGCCGTCCGTCCACGTCCAAGACTTTGACTTGTTGGAGCTGTGGACGCACAGGGCACCGAGCGAACACTTGCGGGTCGACACTAGACAACCGACCTCAGGCGTCCTGTGTATGGACGGTGCCAAGCCACACGAGGGGTACCGAGGTAGATGAATCTTACGTGACACTTCAGGACGGCGCCAAGATTCCAGTGGTGAACGCTGCTGTTGGACGAGCTCCAAAATTTCTGGTTGAAAACATGCCTGTGGTGGAGGGACGTCTCGGTGACCGCAAAATAACGGTTTTAAGAGACACCGGTTGTAACACGGTCGTCGTTCGAAAGGAGATGATTCCCCCCGAGTCGTTCACAGGAACGTTGAGTCCGGTGTTCCTTTTGGACAGACACGTAAGGTATGTTCCGGAAGCGGAGATTCTGGTAAGGACCCCATACTTTACGGGAAAAGTAATATCGAAATGCCTGAGCAACCCGTTGTACGACTTAGTGCTCGGGAACGTGCCCATGGTGCGAGGCGTGAACGACCCCGACCCAAATTGGAATCAGGTTGAAGAGATGAGACCAGCTAGGAGGTTGGTAGCGCAGACGCCGACAGGAGAAAGAGGAGGACAGCCGGGAAGGTATTGTCGAAAAAGTTCAAGAGGGTTCTTCAGAACCATTGCAAACGGCCGCACCAAGCTTCGAGCCGCGCAGTAACGAGCCTATGCTCACTGCGAACACGATAGAGACGGGAGGAAATAAAGATCTACCAAGAGAACCGAAAACCGGACTGATAGTACCGCAGGTTTCACCACTAGAGGCAACAGCGGAAGAGATGCTCACGGAGCAGAGGAATGACGAAAGCTTCAAGAAATGTTTCCGTAATATCGGCAAGGTGACTGTTAAGCACAGAGGAAGAACGACGCTGAAGTTTTTCTTAAGGAACAATTTGCTTTACAGGGGTTGTACCATCAGCTCGGGAAGGAAAACAAAACAGCTGGTTCTCCCCGAGAAGTTCAGAAGAACTGTCGTCACCATGGCCCATGATGGCATAATGTCGGGTCACCAGAAAATAAACAATACGATAGGCCTGGTCGCGGAAGAATTCTTCTAGCCAGGAATGCAAAGCGAGATTCGCCGATATGTGCGGTCATGTGACGTGTGCCAGCGGACCGTGCCCAAAGGAAGAGTGGGCAAAGCGCCCTTGGGCACAATGCCAACCATAGCGACGCCTTTCCAAAGGGTAGCCATCGATATCATTGGCCCTATTACGCCCAAGTCAGATTCGGGAAAGCGATACATACTGACCATGGTAGATGTAGCCACTAGATATCCGGACGCTGTGGCTTTGTGCACAATCGGGACCCCTGAAGTGGCAGAAGCCCTAATGGACATGTTTACGCGGTAGTACCGGAAGAAATTTTCAGCAATCGAGGATCCAATTTTACATCGGATCTTATGAAGGAGGTGAGCCGTTTGTTGTCGATGAGGCACTTCCTAACGACCCCTTACCTTCCTATGTGCAACGGCCTGGTTGAAAGGTTCAACGGCACCATTAAGCAGATGCTCAGGCGAATGTGCCAAGAGAGACTTCGAGATTGGGACAGGTACTTACCAGCACTACTTTTTGCTTACCGAGAGGTGCCCCAATCTAGCTCAAGATTTTCTCCATTTGAGCTATTGTATGGAAGGA